TCTGCCTTTCAAATAAATAAAAAATGAATCTTTAAAAATATATATTTTTCTTAAAAAGATGTATTTATTTATTTAAAAGGCAAAGTGACAGCGGGAGAGGCGGGGAGAGAAATAGGTATCATCCATCTGTTGGTTTACCCCCCAAATTCCCATAATGGCTGGGACTAGGTCAGGCTGAATCCAAGAGCCATGAACTACACTGGGGTCTTCCACATGGGTGGTAGGAACCTGAGTACTTAGATCATCATGTGCTGCCTCCAAGACATGTTATCAGGAAGCTGAACTGGAAGCACAGTATAACCGGGACTGGAACCAGGCACTCCACAGTGGATGACAGTGTAGCGAGAGTGCCACAACCCTCACCATTTACTTTCATTCTAATGGTTTAGAAATAAAGTCCTTATCTAAACTACAGACATGAATTTTCAAACAATGAACAACACAAGTGGTTTGGCAGGGCAGTTCTCAACCTTCACATCATGTCTCCTGTTTTTCCACAAAGGCAACCATGGCTCCTATTGGCAGGGATTCTTCAAGAGGGCAGGGCGGTGGGGAGTCTTCCTGCCCAACCCCCACCACTGGGATACACTACTAATGGCAGCTAACCTTTAACACTATGTAAAACCTTTGGCTGAAGCCCCAGTTCTGTGAATGGTTGAATAACTACCATATTCTGGAGCAAAAGGGTCAAAGCATACAAACTGAACTTCTCTGTGAACAAAAACACTTATATCACCAGAAAAGCATTCATTACTGCTCATTACTTGACATTTTATTTTAGAATTTTCAAACCAAAAAGAATTGAATTTGTGGAAATGTGTCCCCCAGTCCCCCAAGACTCACTCAGATCATTGTAGGTAAATGAGGAGACAACTGTCAAAAGGAGGAAAAAATATAGTAGTCAGTAAATTAAGTGGCTGGATGCTGGAGTCCTGTATCCAAGGACTTTGAAAACAGGACAAAATCAGAAATTCTGAGTTACTCCTGGGCTGTCAACTAAGTTATGATAGTCTAGGTATGGATATCTATCCTATACTCCCCCCACACCAAAAGTTTGTTTTAAATAAATTAAATAAACCCTGTTTTCCATTATCAAAATGAAAGAGCTGAGATTCACTAAAAGAGGGAAAGGGTCAGAAATCCTTTATTAATTCAGTGCAACATACTGACTGCTATTCAAGGACCTGTTTTGAGTTTTTTCTTCCCATAACTTGAACTAAAAGGTTCAAGGAAGAAATCTGTGAGTAGTAACACAGCCCATTAATTAATTAATGCAAGTGTTAGGGTACAATGAATTAACTAATAATTTTCAAAAACATCTTTGTCAAGATTTCCATAAAGCAGCTAATATCAATGACTGGCAGGCTTCAACAGCAATCCATAAGGCAACAAGTGTGTGTCTGTACACATATACACAGATATTCGTAGGATGTAAATGTGTGCGCACACGCAAGAGTGAGTGGTATATTTTGACATATGAAACCCAAGATCTTAGAAATAAATTGAAGATGTTGCTACAAAAGGAATTATAAGAAGGCATTTAACTGAAAGAGATTAACAAATTTCTAAACATTCTTCTAAGAAGAGAATACTGGATTTGGCATTCAGCAGAAATTAAAATTTGTTTTAAGAGTCCAGCAACAGGTAGAATGTACTCAGTGCTACCATGAAACAACTTTAGGAAAGGTATAGTAGTGCTGTTTCACTCATTTTCTGAGCAAAACCCCACATTAGAAAACTCCAGTCACTTCCTCCTGGCCCCACACGTAGGACACTGTACCGTGAAGGCAGCCAGAAACTGTTGTGTCTCACCTCTGAGAAGAAATAATTGGAGACATGATTTCAGGGCTTCTGTGTAGGGGGAGGGAATGAAGCAATTAGTTGAAACGCTAGGGGCAAAAGGAGTGGGTGCTGTCCTCCCACTGCCAACTCCAGGGCTAGCCAGCCAACCCCTCACTGTCATATTTGCCCTAATGAATGGAGGAAGAGTAGGTTTTGCATACCTGCCTAAATGCCTTCTGCATTATACAGACATGTCCCTGTTGCGTGGGAGAAACGAGGTCAAGGTAAAACTGTGAAGGAAGAATTAGAATTCATTTTGCTCAGATCTGAGAAACCCCAAAATTAATATCCCAGAAGCAGAATTTCTACTGACACAATAGGAAAACCACAGTGTGGTGTAACAGAAATATCATATGCAAGTTGGGTGAAATATAACATTCCTCAGAAAGTCTTCAAAACAATCATTGGCCAGGAATAATTTATGTTGTTCAGGAAGGAAGAAATATTGCATTTTCCCCCATTATACAACTAATGTAATATACACATGGAAGTTGGATAGATAAAACAAACTCAGGTGACACAGTCAACTTTTATACTCACAAGGATACTACAGATCAATGATGGTAATACGAGACAGATTTGGAAAAAATAAAAGAGAGAACAGATGAACAATTCTTTGTTTAATGACTAGTATAGCCCACCTCCACTTTACTGCTTATCTACTGTCAAGTTTATTTTTGAAATATATTATTAATTAAAGCCTTCACTTATTTTACCTTTAATTTTTACAGTACGACTTCAAAGTAGGGGTGAGTGTGTGGTGCAGCCATAAAGATGCAGCTTGGGATGCCTGTATCCCATATCAGAGTGCTTAGTTCAAGTCCCACCTCTGCTTCTTCTTCCAGCTACCTGAAAATGCACACTTGGAGGGCAGCAGATGAGGGCACAAGTACTTGGGTCCCTGCCACTCACATTGGAGACCTCGATTAAGTTTCCAGGATCCCATCTCTTTTTTAAAAAATATTTATTTATTTGAAAGTCAGAGTTACACACACAGAGAGGGAAAGACAAAGTCTTCTATCTGCTGGTTCATTCCCCCAAGTGGCTGCTGAGCCAGGCCAAAGGCGGAGCCAGGAGCTTCTCTGAGTCTCCCACGTGGGTGGCAGGGGCCAAGCACTTGATCCATCTTCCACTGCTTTCCCAGGCCATTTGCAGGGAGCTGGATGGGAAGTGGAGCAGCTGGGACTTAAACTGGCACCGATATAAGATGACAACATCACAAGTGGCAGCTTTACCCACTATGCCACAACGCAGGCCCCCAGGATCCTAGTTTTGACCTGGTCTAGCCCCAGCAGTTGGGGGCATTTGGGGAGTGAACCAGTAGGTAGAAGCTCTTTTTATGTCTGTCTCTGTCTCTCAAACAGAAATGAAAACAATTAAAATTATTTTTAAAAGACTCCAAAGTAGGGATTATTATTCCTATTTTACAGACAGGAAAACTGAGGCTCATGTTGAGTAACATGCCACTGAAAGTGGCAGAGCCAGGATCTGACAGAAGAGTCAACACCCAGACTGTCTCCAGTGCCTACATGATTCCTAATGGTTTGGGTTCAGAAGTTCCAGACCTATCACCTAGCAGAATCGATACTGCATCGGAGCAGGAAGCACGTTTGGGGAATTCCATGAGAAAAATCGTGTCCCCTAAAATTATTCTGTTGAAGGCATAAGCCCCCGTATATCTCAGAATGTGACTGTGTTTGAAGATAGGGCCTTTAAGGAGAGTGATTAAGTTATACGGGGATCCCAAGCAAGGGTCCAAACTGACGTCCCTTTGAAGGAGGAAATTCAGACGGCACCAAGGGCCTGGTCTACAGAGAAGAGACCACAAGAGGGTGGCCATCTGCAGACGCAATGAAAGCAACCCTGCCTGACACCTTGATCCCGGAATCCCAACCTCTAGAAGTGTGAGAAGAGAACTGGGAGCTGTCCAACATCCCCCCCCCACACACACCCCGATTTTGTTTGGCCCTATCAAACTAGGACAGAGAGAAAGGAAATCACGAAATGCGGTGATGCGCAGACTACAAAAGTGGCAGCGTGTCTGTTCTTCAAGGCCAGCCAGAAAGTGGCTGCAGATTTTGACCTTGTTGATGAAGCAGGAACGAGCTCCATGCCTGGGGGCACTGAAGCACTATGGGAAGGTGGCTATGTCACCCCAGCACACTCTTGGCTACTGCCCCCACCTCCCACACATGCCGTAACAAGGAAGGCACATGATAAATTCAGAGCATTTCATGGCACAGCCTGGTGGTGGTACCTCAGATCTTGCTAGAATAACATGACATTTATAAAAATACAACCCACTGGATGTTTGGCACTGCTTGGGAATGAAGAATATGTCCACGTTAAGAGCCAATACCCCAGGCTGTCAAAAGTTTCAAGCCAGGATTTCTTTCATAAACATTACCTATCTTTTTAAAGTCATAGTCTAGGAGGTGAAGAAAACCTCTGCTGATTTCCAAGTCTCCTTTCGCCTAAACACAATAAACATAAACCATACGCAAGAACCAGTTACATTCTCAGTCGAGGCCTGTAGACACGGGGCTAGAAGCCTCCCCGCTTCCATCCTTTCTCTGGGCAGCACCCACCCCAACGCACACCCACAGGGAGCTCGCGCTCCACCCACAGGGGCCGCCTCTGATCCCAGCACACACTGAAAGGGGATATTTACGGATTATTTTTTTCAGATATCGGCCAAACAATGTTCTTGTTCACTCTCTCAGCCACCCTAGACCATACCCAGTTTAACATCTGGAAGGATAAACTCAGCCCTGATGCGTCTGACAAGGGGGAGCAGTCATCGAGGAGATCTCCAGCAGTGGGCACTGGCCAGCTTCCCTTGGAGCTGCAGGCCCTCAAAGGCCAACTGTGGTATGTTTGAGTTTCCATCAGGCCTGGTGCTTGCTGGCTGCCGCTCCGCTCAGTAAGAACCCCACGGCCCAACCGTCCTATAAACATCTCGCCCTTCTGCAGGGAGCTGCGTGCCCAGCCTTACTTCTTGGAGCAGAGTATGCTGCTTGAGAGCCGCAGGCTGAATGTTAACTAACACTTGGAGCACAGCTGACCTCGCTCTTCTCCAGGCCAGTGACTGCTCTAAAAAACACACACATTCACACGAACCTAACAAGCAGGGGAAGAAAAGCCCAGATTTTCCTCACCATGTGCCACCCAGCCATGTTTACACTGATCGCAAGTCCTCAGGTTAATCTTCCCCGGCTGAAAACATTCGCATGTGCAGTTTACCAGTGTGCAACGGATGGCCTGCAAAAAAAGGAGGAAAAAAAAAAGATCAGCATCTGCTCAAAGGTACTACGTTTTTGTTTTTGTTTTTGTTTTTGTTTTCACCATTTTAATAAATAATGCCCACTCCCATTTCTAAAGGCTTCATGTTGGCAGGGGCCTGGAGGATTTTGAAAATAAATTTTGATTTAAAAATTTCTTCTCCCCTTCCCCCAAAAAAGATGAGAAAACAAACCTTAGTCACTCATAAACTGTTTTATGTCATTCACAGTAACCTTACATTGGAAATGCAGACCAACTAGTATAAGAACTAAGGATTATATATTCTACAAGATGCTGGATTTTTTTATCATAGTAAAAAAAGAAAAGAAAAAAGTTATTAACACACACTTCTATTTAATTTATTCAGTTGGTAATAATGCAAAAAATACATCCTAATAAAATTATGTTCATGAGTCAAACATGGTAAATGAAAATTATTAGGATATTACTATTCTTCTGCTGAGTTTAACTTAAATGCTTTGCTAATCTTTCAGCTATATTTTGAAAGACACTCCTCAATGAGATTTAGCATATTATATTATTCTTTTTCACTTTCTAATTACTTGGAGTTTGTTTTCTTGATCTACTAATTCTAATTTCATTCCTGTTTTGAAAAATCCCAAACAAAATTTCTATTTTAATAGTGTTATAAGAAACATAAATTGCTTTTATATCAGATGTAGAACAGGAAAAGCCATTTCTGTGAACATTTTGTATATGGGACAATACAATTCTACCTTAAAAAAACTGGCAAAATGCTCAAAAATCTTTCGTTTCCTTATGAGTACTTTTAAAAAACATTGCACCAGTTTGTATGACAGTGAATCCATAGAAAATTAGCACAAATGGAGTGTAACTTTTTATGAATAAAAACCTAAATTTAATAATTGTACTAAAGCTGACCTATGCTCCCAGACTACAGACTATCTCCTTCATTTAGTTTTAATTTGCATGGAAATCCCGAAGATAGAAGGGATTTAGACTGATCACTCAGATATTAACAATCTACTGTAACTACCTGAAATGCCACGAAAAGATCTCTACAGATTTAGCTGCAATCAGTGATTACTGAATGGGGTAAGGGTAGGTGCAGAGGTGCATGACCATACGTCTGAGCAGAAAGCTACACTCACTCAGCTCCAGGGCTCACATTCCTGGGACTATTTGGATTTCTATATAAACTAGAACTGCCTGTAACAGGCAGTATTTTAGGTATTGTTAGCACGGCTAGGCTAATTCCCATTTACTATGAGACTCAGACTGAACCAGCTTTTGCTGTATCCTATACTTCCTATATCAGTTCGCTTTCAAGTATTTCTCATATTAATTAACATTAAATCAATGGGTCTGTATTCTGTTTCGGACGGTGGAGTCCGCACTGCACAATCAATTCATACTCTACTTCCAACCCTAATTTCCTCTGCTGTTCTCCTCCAGGGAAATACTCAATGGTATAATCTGCCTGATCTCTTAGGGACTCTCTTCCAGTGTCACCTGTCAATTGTACATTAGCTAAGTTGTAAAACTCTGCTGAATGTCTTAGTGCTTAAAGGAAGGCGAAGATTACAGGGGGAAACATTGCTTTCAAATGTGCTTATTTCAATTTCAATAGTTTATTGACTGAACAAGATATCAGAATGTACCAGGTTAGAAACAGCTTCTTTACATATCATGTTCACTAGTTAAAAGAATAAGCTCAATTTGATTATATTATGAGTGCAACAGTTTCGTATTCAAAGTTTCCACTAAAAACAAGACACTCTGAAAATTATCCAATTATAAATTTAGATAGAGGAACAATATTAACATTAAAACGTGTATAAAATTTGAAGAGCAATAATAAGTGTTTTTTAAAAAAGTCTTCACCACAATCAGGAATGAACAATAAAAAAGAGATGATCTTTCAAGGACTATTTAACTCCAGCAAAAAAGACATAAATGCTAGAAATCATTAATTTGATAATATCATGTTACAAAAATACACTAATTTTATACCATGTTGAAAACACATTGTAAGCTCTAATTTCTTTAAAAACAGAATAAATCAATAGGTGCAAGATTTATTTTTATATGTATTTTCACTGCATAATTCATTCGGCTTACTGACTCTCAATTAGTTTATGATACAAATATTTTCTCTTCCTAAACAACTTCATACATCTGGAACATTTGGGAATTCAACTCTTCAGACCATCATCCCTTTTTTATGAATTCTACTCTTTTTGTAACTAAACATATAAACACTGGAACACCTCAACTCCTCTTGTATATAAACACTTAAGCACTGGAATATCCATTTTGTATTCCTATGAATTCCAGAAGGTGCATTTGTCCCAAACTCAGATTTTATATAGACTACAATTGCTCCTTAAGGGAATTATTTCTATTTAAACAATATGGTCTAAATAAATATTTTGAGTAAGAGAGAGTATTGTGGCTTCAAAGGAAGTTTTATTCTAAATAACATTTTTGAAACAGCATAAAACTTTGACATACTATTTATTCACAACAAAATAGAACCAATGTGATCACTTGCCAACTCACCCACAGTTAAAAAACATAAATTATCATAAAACTATCAAAGCCAGTTATGCCTCAAAAATGTTCATGCATTACAAGGAGACAGCTGGGAGGAGCAGAAATGGGTAAGCTTTCATTCTTGGGAGCACGTTTGCTTCTTCCTTCTTTTCAGCTCCAGCCTGAGTGTCTGCCATTCTCTGCTGGGCACTCGGAGGAGACCAGGCTGTAGGTTTTATATAACCTAAACTACAAGCTCTGCAAATGCAGACTGAGGAAAAAGGCAGTCAGTCCAGTCAGACTTCTCCCACCTCTATACGCAGGGATCGGTGCTCAGGTCTTGCTCATGCAGACCCATGGGTCCCCTCTAGGACCTTCCCTCATTAATGGTGCCCGGGACTCTTCTCAATTCTTAGATGATCACCATTCCCCTACCCCCCTCCCCCCCCAAGATCAACAGTAATACATTTTCCTAAGCCCGAGACTTATTACAAGGAATCATTTCTTCTGCTTACCTTTACCACGGATTTCCTGAAAGAGAAATCCATGCACCCAGCAGCCAACGCTTCCAACTTCCTCACCACCACCACCACCTACATTGTAGCTCTGCAGCAGTCTGGCTCGGCCCCACACTTCCCTGCGTCTGCACCGAGAGGCAATGTTCTCATCACATCTGGTCCCTTTTCCTAGTCTCCTCGTCCTCCTAGACGTTTTCGCAGCTTGCAGCACTGACTCTCCTTCAGCCCCAGGCAGGAGAGACTGACTATCCTAGCTTTTCTGGCAGCAACTTCTCACTCTCTCTCCACTGTAAATAAATACAGGTGTTTCCCATGGCCTGGCTCTTCATTCTTTAATTTGGCAATTTCTTCCTTTCCTCCAGCTTCAAATACCATCACTATGCAAAAACCCCTCACTGCGGAGCCCGGCACTGTTAAGTAGCAGGAAATGGATGGCAGTGTCCCCGTCCTCAAGAACGTGATGGTTTGGTGTTTGTGTGCAGTGGGTTCAAAGACGACCCTACGAGCAAGAAGGAAGCCTTTGTACAATCTGAGAAGCACCATAGTTCCCTCTTCATTCCTATATCCTTTCCTCTGCCAACTCAAGGATATTTTTAGGTATATAATAGGAAACTATTACCTGTTATTATTAATAGCTACATTTTTCGGAGAATTGCCGCTCTCTAGACATTGTGCTAGGGAGTTTACAAGCACTGGCACTCTCAGTCCTCTGCGAATACCACGACGATGTCAATATTATTTAGTTTCACAAAGAAGGGACCGGAGGTAGAGATAATCAAGTACCTCGCCTCAACTCAATCAACTATAACGTCACAGGTCTAGGAATCAGGGCAAGGTCTGTGCAAGTTCTTCCCCCAGACTAGGAATCTTGAGCTACGATCACACGCGGCAAGGCAGGCACCAGGCAATTCTTCACTGATATTTTGCCTTCCTCTAAAAATGATCTATCCCTGCCTCTCCTGAATTCTAAACTCTCACAGTTCCTATTCAAACTGCCTCCTAATTAATTGGCACATTGCTCTTTTTGCCCTGTCTCCAGGAACTTTTTTTTTTAAAAGTCCCACACACATTTTATCTGTTTGTATGACACTGTCGTTACTGAGTTTATTTTTGCTCTCTTGTCAGCTTATTCCTGCTTCAGTACAAACAGATGTCAATTGTCACTGGTCACCCAACAGAACCCCCTATTACTTGGTTTTTTCATTGGCTGTTTCTCCCAGGGAATGTTCTCACCTGCCCACCCTTGTGCCCCTTTAGATTTCAAGTCAGGTATCGCTTCTTCCCCAGCTGAGCTGCCCTGGTTTGCTATTCCAGGCAAGTTCCCCATTATCCACCTGCATCAGGAGTCTTCAACAGTCTCTCACAGCACTCACCACAGACTGTGAATATCGTCTCTATTGGTGTAATTATTTGATTTGACTCTGTCTTCCACTCTAGAACTTAAGCTCCATGAAGACAGGGTCACAAGTCTATTGACGTGAAATGCATACTGGCAAACAACAGATGCTCAAAAGGCACCGTGAGAAGCACGGTTCTCCGAGCCCCTCTCCCCATTTACAAACAACACGGCCGCTCTGTCAAAAGAATTACAGGAGTTAACGAATGTAAAGCCTGAGCGCCTGTGGCTGGAATAGTATCTGTGATAAATGATAACTCTCCACATATTACATGTGAATGATTCTTTCTTCCCTTTTAATTCTTCCAAATTCTATTTTAATAACTTATAAAGTGTTTAAATCATATTTAGTCTAAATGAACAAATGAAAACTTTGACATGCATCCTACTGTACTATTCATACTATAATCCTCCAAGGTGGGCCTGAGGGTTATTATTTGTCCTAATATTAAGAGTTCAGAAATGTACATGTGTGTTGCATGGCTCTAAATATACAGTGGTAAGGAAGATAAATATCCAAAATACTAATCAGTTTATTTCCACAACCT